ACAGGTATTGAACATAGTTGTGTAATTGAGTTTTTCATGAATTAATGTTCTGTATTTTATGTGCTACTGTAATGGACTACCTTCTAGAAGAGATAGAGCAGGACCCATCGCGGTTAAAGCCGCAGAAGAGAAGAAAAACGTTCCTTGCTTTGGTAAGTGTTGTCTATTTGAGATATGATTACTAACGTAGATTTTGTTTTTCTTGAACTGAGATCCATCGCATGTCTGAGCACTGGGAGATTTATACTGCTCGGAAAATGAGAGTTGGTAGTGCGATGGATCTCCCATCGGTGCATATAGGACTTTTCTTTTATTTTCATTATGCTTTCTATATCAAACATCTACACATTTTCATTCGTCTGTGTATTTCTTTCCACACTCCTGGGTACTTCTTAACTTGCTATTGAAATATGCCTACGCTTTGCACCAAATGGATGCATTCATTAACAATTACTTATTTTTATGCTCAACAAACCGTACGCTATTCCTATGCCCAGTTTAAAACCAAAGTCAGGCCCTCTTCCAGTGTCACTTATCTAATGACGAACACTGCTGTGGTTATGAAAATATGCAAAACAGTATGTTTAGGATCGCGAAGAGGAAGAAGGCGACAGCTCTCATCTAGATACTGTGAAGGATTTGAAGATGTATGCCAACTCGTTGGTGATGAGCCGAAAAAGGGTGGGTGAAGTAATGCTCTCATAGTATCTCACCACACAGCGTGACAAGTATTGTTTTAATGTTTTGAATTTACTTCAAAAATATCTTTTCAATATCCCGATTTGCCTGGACTTTTGGGAAACTTTGCTTGTTTGTAGCGGGAGTGAGGATCAAGTCAGTCAATAGGTTTTGTACGAGCGCAGTGCCTAGTTTACACTTGTTTCTCTTTATTCTCTGCCTTGTTCTTTGTTTCCATTTGTGCGCCATCGTGATGCTGACACGATGCACAGGGGAGCGGATGTCGGTCAGAGGACTTATCGTTAAGATAAGACGTAAAAATGCGGGGCGTTTTCTTCATCTGAGACTGAGACCTTAACTGAGCTGTCCTACAGCTGAACTCAGCACACTTTTTTTCTCTTTTTTTCCACATGGCACTATTAAATTAAGTGGTGTAAATGTGAATTTGTGTAGGTATATTCTGCGAGTACAGATTTGAGTAGTTCTGTTTTAGTTGAAACAACAGGTGCTACCGGTTTACGTACCGGTTTATAACGAAGAAGGAAAGCTGGTCAATCCCGGTACGGGGTATTTGTTCCAACTCTACGACCGCATTTACGTGAGTTCTTTAACTTCTCGGTGATTCGGCAGCTTGATTCGGCACTTTGATTTAGGTCTACTTTGAGTCAAGCTATAGTATTATTCAAGGTTCGAAATCCTCACTACAATCCCGATTATCGAGCATCGAAGAGCAGAAGTCACATAGCTCGCTATTATCGGGGTATTATCGTCGATATAGACACGATTGATGGATCAATGTATAAGGTGGCTATTTATTTGTGTTAATGGTAGCAATTTGGAACATTCTTGTTAAAAAAAAAGGATATTAAGGTGTTATACTGGGAGGATGACCCACATGATGTTGATGCTATGAGTCCGTCAGAATGGCCGGCCGCTGATGACAGTAGGCTTTTTAGACTGTTGTTTTCAGAGAGGCACTAAGATGCAGTGATTTAACTCTCTCTTTTCTGCGAACATTGAAGTGTCTTCTTTTTAAGCATATGATGTGCGTTCCTCTGGTTTGGTCCGGGATGTGACACTTTTCTACTGCTCACGGCCAAGTTTACGACACAGTAATGGCGTGAGTTTTCTTCCCGTTACATGTTTTTCGTATTGTAGTACTGTTGTTGCTATTGTAATTGAAATCAGCTGGCGTTGCTTTCTGAAATGTGGTGTCAAGCCAAGAGATTTAGTACCAGCTTACATTCATCCGTCCTCATTCAGTCATCCTCATTCGATCACGTGTCCCTTATCTCCTTTCTTCTTGCTTCTGTAACATCTTAAACACCTTTTTCTCATTTTTATACTGTGGGTGTGCCGTTCTGATCTGAAGATTGACTCGAGGCGTTGTCTATGTAAGTGGTAGGTCTCTTCTGTCTTAATCGCTCCGAACACTGTTCTCAGTTCCCTTTTTTGCATCATCAAAGGATTCGATGGAGTTTACTGACTTGTTTGGTTTTTGGCAATGTCATGCAGTTCCTCATCTTTCCTCTTTGCAATTTCTTGGACAACCATTCTCTCCCATTCTGTTTGTTTGTTTTTTCAAGTCCCTACTTACCATTATTACCTCTTGCTCGTCTCCCAGTATTTCACTTTTTTTCCTGGTTTGTTTATCCTCTCTTCCCTTAGTTTACGTTTTCTTCACCGGATCATTTGCCTATGTAAGTGACAGCGACAAAATATCTCAGAATCTGTTACACTCAGTTTTCCTAGTAATCTTTTTCGTACTTCTAGCGGAATTCTGTACGAATATACGGACAACCGGCGAAGAACCATTGATATGCGATGTCGATGTGAGAGTCCAAGTTGTGCAGGGTTCGCGCACATGAAATGCCAGAGAAAGTTCTCTACCGAGTGTTGTCTGAAGGTGAGGCTCCCTGCAAATCCAATGTTGTTTCTATTTGTAAAATAATTGTTTCAGAGTCCATACGATTGCGCTTTTCACAAGCAAGATGATCGCCATCAGGAGGTCAGTTATTCACACTATGCCAATGTTGTTGGAGCAGCGCAAAAGAGTCATGAGTTTTGAAAGTGACATAAGTTAAAGAAGCATTGTAGGAAGAAGATTCGCCTATACCTGGCGATAACTCAGCACTGTTCACATTCTCAGTTCATGTTCCAGCATCGTCAGTCAAGAGCTGCCGAGATGTGTGGACCATCCGGTTTTCCTATCAAATTGGACACTTATACTGCAGAGTATGCTCACAGATCTAATGACTTGTAATCTTTTTTGGTCTCTTTGCTGATTTTTTTTTCAAGGGCCGATTCTTCGCCAAAATCAATCCTCTAGAGGGCAGAGACGGTAAGTCAATCTAGTTGATCCATTCCTCATAATACGAGTTGCTAATTCTAGGTATTTTGTCACTCCGAATGGTTTTAACAGTTGAGCAACGAGATTGTCATTTCCAGGCCTCGTATTCCGTATTCCGCAAATTCAGCTCCTGCTGCGCCAGAAAAGCGATATACATTCCGGTAGGTAATTCATTTGAAATCTATTCTTATGATCCGGTTAATCTCACTTTTCGTGTTCTAAGGGATGGAGTATTGGTGGAAATATCGTCGGCCAGCGAATTGGAAGGCCAACCACGTCGAGGAGCGCCACCAGTAACGAGGAAACGTAGACTTCCAGCAACTGACGAGGTAGTCCGTGAAGTTTGATGCTGTTTTCTCTTTGTCCAAACGTGTGTGTATCTGCCTGATGTCTTTTATGAACTCCTTAGGCGCTATCACTATATGCGGGGTGTTATGGTGCCAGAGCCAGTGCATCTCGAACCGCGCATAAAAATCGTCTCTGTTTGAAATACGGCCTCAAGGGGGAGGGGCGACTCGAGGATGCGCGACAAATTTCCATTTTTCCGAAGTTCCTGTCCATTAGCTTAGCCCCTCTGGATGCCCCCGTATTCTGCGTTATTGCCTTCCTTTAATTATCAACTCTGAAACGAAAATACCCCTATAGTTGCCACTAAGACAACAGGGTATTGCAGGCTGATGGAATAACAGGTCCTAAAGACGACGAATTGCTGACGTTTTGGGTTCCACTATGAGAAACCTTTTCGTATAGAAGAAATCACCAGTAAAGCAAAATTTTGGCTATTTGTTGGAATCTCTGGTGCGTAATGACCGGATATCATTGCGCAGACTGGGGTTTTGAAGGAATTTTCAGTGACTTGATAAAAATTTGCTGCTGTGATCGCCATATCGTCGCCAGCTTTATCATCGTTGAATGGTTGCAGTTAAAACTGCGGTTAGAGTAAAAATATCATGATGAATGTTTACTACCAGGAAAGGCATTCAACTTCCCATGGAACTTTTGAGATGAGACCCAGATATATCGATAGAGCTTCAAACGCTGATTACAAATATGGAAACTAAAACTGCAAAATGAACCTGCCAAGGAAAGTTGTGAGCAGTCAAATTAGCTGGAGTAAAGCGTTGTGAATCAATCGCGCTAGCCTCCGGGCTTTCAAACTCGCCGTGGAGTAGTGGTAGTGCTCTCGAAATTTGCTTTCCAACGGAAGAGAAGTTGTGACCTGCTGGGTGAAGAACGAGGGCACTACCACTTCTTCCGCGGCGACTCTGAAAGCCTGGGATCCAGCGTGGTTATATGCAGCGTTTTACTTCAGCCAACTTTGACTGCTCACAACTTCCTTGGCAGGTTCATTTTGCAGTTTTAGTTTCCATATTTGTAATCAGCGTTTGAAGCTCTATCGATATATCTGGGTCTCATCTCAAAGTTCCATGGGAAGTTGAATGCCTTTCCTGGTTAGTTTGCGTTGTTGTGTTTCTCTGTGGGGTAGGAAACAAGACTATTATGCTTCACCCCCCCCCCCCCACCATTCTCCCTTTCGCACTCCACGCTCAACGCCCTTTTGGTGGTTTAGTGGTGGGGTTAGGCAGGAGAGTTACTTATTAAAATTGGTCAAAATTTTATCGACCAGCGGTCACCTTGGGCTGCCAGATGGTGGAAAATTCGCATGTATAATAGAGCGAGGGTTGTTTACTTTTCTGGAGTTCCAGCAACTCAGCGGCTCGTGAGTGCAGCGCATAAAGGAGGGGAAAATATGAGAGGTTCATGATTCCAGCAGCTCAGCGGCGGGTGGACTGAGCGCATAAAGGAGGGGAAAATATGAGAGGTAGAGATAAAACATGGATTTCTCCTCCCTCTTATATGGGATTATAGTGCACTGGCTGCTGTTTGAGAGATTTCAATAAGTTGTACGTTTGTTTAATGTCTCCAGCAGTTCAATTCATCGAAAATGGTCTTGTGATTCCTCTGATCCTTGTTCTACTTTCCAGGCAGCTGCTTTACAATCGCCATCGACCCGTACGGGGCGGGAGTGGCCTGCGATTCCGACATCAACTGGAAGAACAGATTCAGTCGCTACTACATCTGATGACGGTGGTCACGTTCAGTTCGTCAGTCCTGATCCGGAGTCCATGCATTCTCCTACACCAAGTCCCACCCCATCGGCATGCTATGAAGTTGAAATTAGCCCGGATGACACACATCAGCGGCGCAGTCCATCACACCTGAAGGAAGCTCTTGGGTAATTTCGGATCTGCACTCATAAGAGGTAAAAGAAGCACACCTCGTTTGCAAGATCAAGACAGAGGGCAAAGCGCGAATGGGATTAGCGGGGACATTCCCGAGATGTCACTTCGACCACGTGTTGTACCTTCACGAGATCATCCTTACGAAAGAACAACGAAAACGAGTAGACCCTCCCAGCCCAACAACGACTACATTGGTGGTGGACTCAATGGCAAAGAGGCTAGAAAAGCGGGTCGCAGCAGCAGAACGACGGTCCTTACTCGGCCAGAGCAGTCTCAGGATCGAATGAAGGAACTCCAACATCAGCTTCAGATGGTTAGTCAGTCAGTCTCGTAGTTACGGGCAGGTGTTCTCGAAATTTGATGGGCTAATTGGAGAATTTCGAAATTTATATTGCTAACTCATCCAAATTCCGTTCGTTTAAGGATCGAAATCTACCTATAGATTGGCAGCGGTTCCGAGATCCGCATCGCACGTCCCATCCGTTCGATGCTGAATTAATGGCGGTTGGGTTTTTTGACTCGTTGTTTTGGTTTGAAGGGTATGAAAGGAAGTCCCGAATTTCAATGCTATTCAGGCAATATGGATACTCAAGCCATTTTAAATTCAATAATTTGGGAATCGAATATTGTAATAACTCTTAATGAGTGTGTGTTCACTATTTCCTGGGCAATTTTGACAACACTATTTCTTCAGAGATTCTTCCCGCAAGTAACAGTGCTCCTTCGTCAGAATGGGGCAGGGAGATGGGGGCAAAAGTGAATTGTATATGGTGTAGCAGTTCTCGCCAGATAATGCGTAATGGCGTAGGAACAGAAATTGCTGTTTGAGGCAAGGAGAGTAAAGTCTTGCACGATTAGACAGTAGTGTTTTGAGCATAATTGCAAGCTTACGATTCTGACATCGAAGGGGATACCCGAGAGTAGGAACCGCAGGGACCCATACCTCTTGCGAGCGGCACTTGTGTAGTGTGTGAGAGGACCGGCGACGGCCCGGGGCGGGGCGGGGTGTCGCCTAAGTCTGTATCGCGATCCTTAGCGGTAACTAGCGATCTATGACGCATTGCGATTTGAAGTGCAACTGATTACGGGATTTAATTGATAGTCCAAGGAAACATGGGACCGGGTACTTCCGATACGGATCTTTCCGTGGTTGGATCCCGAACCCTTCATTCCTCTGAGATGCCTAGCGGGAGTCTGGATGGGGCTCGGTGAACCAGGTCTTCAGGGATCTAATTAGAGATTCGAGGCATTGTCCAAAGTGCAGAATAGTGGCATGACATCTCCTGAAGGCGGTCTAGAGAAAATTTCAGTTTCATGTGGCTAAAGTGAGCCGGTGGAGAGTAGATGTGAGCTTGATAAGGTCGTCGGCTTGTTTGCGAGGGAGAGACAGCAAGACGTAGGGTTACCTTTTGGAAGAGACGAAGAGGAGCGAAGAACACTCCGTGCGATATAGGGAAGTGGATAGCAGGGTGGGCGCGGGAGAATGGGTATACGAACGTTAAGTTGGCGGTGTCGGAATGTGTTGAGTCTATCGGTTTTGACTTGTGTCCGATCTCCACAGGCATCAAGTGTTATACAGCTAGCGAGCGCTGATACGGTCGCGGGCCGTATGTTATGGGTGTGTATAGTAGAGATTTTAGCGTTCCGGGATCTGGGGTGGTACATTTGTAACACTGGGCGGGGTATTCGGCCGGTGCTTGTGAGCGCGAGGGGCGCCGATACTATCGTGGCGGTCACGCCCATGTCAACTTTCGCGCATTGCACAATTTCTTTCGAAACTTCTCGTATTTATTTGCAGAACATTATTTGGAGTATTTCTAAGCAAAATACAAAATAGATAGATTTGCTTCAGTTTCGCTAAAATACAAGGAACCAAATATCCAAGCTTTACCAATTTTCTAATTCGTTTCGCTCTTCGCATTCTTGTTATTGTTGTAGGCATGCTTATAAAACGTCGGCAGAACTATACATAGAACTGCATAAATGAAAAGGCACCTTTTTGGTGTGATAAGGCCAAATGCTCTTGGGCATCAATTGTAGCATGAACTGAAAAATTTTGCTTATTTTGTTGCTATTGAATGTTCTTTTAGAAGAAGCTCTGCTGTTTAGTAGTAGTGCTGGATCACGGCAAGCGTTGATCATTGCTGGAATGGTCCTATACCATACCTAAGTTTTTACTGAGCTTTCAGAATTACGGATGTATGGTAAGGCGGCCGCGTTCAAAAACTGATAATCTCTTCATGTAGCCTAAAAAGTCAGTACACGCACGGTCGTTAATGTGATAAAAATGTAGTTGAAGTGCCCTGCCATACTCTTTTAAAATGAAATCTTCAAGAAGGCAGCTGTTCCACAACCTGCAGAAGCTCCTCAAAAGGAGTCCGGTCAGTGAACAAGGAATCGAACCACATCACATGGATGTACTTCTTCAGTTTTTCGAGTTTTTATATTGTGGTGGTTTACTGAAAAGATGTGGACATGTGTATTTTGCTCGCTGGCTGTGTATGCTCTTATCTACTTTTTGTTCTTGTTTTTCGGAAATTGGTTAATTTTTCGCAGAGTTCATTTATGGGAAGCGGGGGAAATCTGCAGAGACAACGCGAGAAAACAGGGAAATCCTCGCATTTCATGCAGTCCTCTTTACAGAACAGCGTTTATTGCTCGCTTCTCTTCATTATTCGTTGATACCTCGAGAGAGTTGTTAATAGATTTCAGTCTGACTGTTCTCTTTTTGATATGTAGAAATTGAGCATTCAGCGTAGCAAATTTCCAGGTGTTTGATCCCTTTCCTACTACCATGATCGTCAATATTATGTCTACATCATGCATTACTTCGATTAGGAAAGAATGTAATAGCAGCCCCATTATGTAAATATTATGCAATCGTTGTGAAAAAATGAATAAAATGTTATTGTTGCTCAGCTGGTAGAGCGGAGAACTGTAGCGTCGCTGCTGTACTTATTGTTAGCTGGGTTGCTGGTTCGAATCCGGCTCGATTGATTGGTTTTGCAAGCTTTCTTCAAACGGTCAGTTCTTCT